CCCCTTATCGAGAAACTTGGGTCCGGTTTAGTTATTTGTACAATGATTTTCGGTTGTTGTGTCCACACGCGTAACCCGAATCCAAAAACTTTAACATCACGTCTAATCAAAGGATTACAATTTTATTTAAAATAAATGTATCAAATTTCCGACCACTATTTAATAAATTCGGTTTACACTATGCACTTTTTTGCAAATTTCGACGTGGGTTCTGCGCAAAAATACTAGGGGTATTCTCCAAATCTTGCAAAGCCATTGCACGTAGCACGGATTGCACGGATTGCATAAATTGCAAACACACAACAAGAAAATTCATGGGAAACAACATTTCCTATCGCTGCAAAATATGCAACGTCGAAACCCATGTATATATTTTGCAAAATAGCATAGCAAGATAATAGCGACCCTGTGCTAGTTGTTTTGTTGTTGGAATTGCTACATATTTCTCTCATTCCTCTCATCTCGCTCACTTAATTTTTTTTTGCTGTCTCTTGTTATTGTATTTGATACATAATTTCGCTGCTTGCTCCCCATGCATGCTACCTCTTTGCAATAGGGGTTTCTCGTACTCTTCGAAATTTGGAATAGTATTTTTGCATTTCGTGCAATCCGTGCATCGTGCAAGACTTCGAGAATACCCCTACTGTGGATAGAGTAGTGATATACACAAGAAGTGTTGTATATCTTTGACATCCGGAAGCCCCTATTCTCCGGCAACACACAAAGGAGAATTATACTTAGCAAGGGTTATAATCCCTAAGCGCGGTCGAATGCGGAGGCAAGTGCAACAGGTGGTGGACCTAACAAAGTGCATGTTTTCAATGACTTGGAAGAAGCTGTTATTGAATTAACTGGGCATGAATCACGTAACTTTGAAACGATTGTCGTTCAAACGATACTGACAAAACGATGTCGTCAAAACACTGATTCACGCATTTGTGTTGCTGTTACGTGCTACTGTTACTGTTACGTGAAGCAAAACTGGAATTGAGTGGACCATATCACACATACGATTCAACAATTTTTGGTTTTCATGAAACAAGACAAACTCAGCACGATATCGTCCAGACCAGAAAAGTTTGGTACTTATTCCTTTTATTAGGCTGTCGCTACCTCTGAAAAGGATATGTCGGAAATCACGCTGGTATAGCTTTTGAGTTTTTGAATGATCACTATTCTTAAGGGAAAAATTAAAACTTAATAATAATTGTTATCTTTTGGCGAAAATATTTTCAAACAGGTGGCAACCCTCCTCAAAAATATTTCCATCAGCCATCTTTCTTAAACCTCTTTAATCTGATACCCATATTGTAATATGTCATTTATTTTATCAATGTAATTGAGTTTAAAATTTTCAAGCAACCCTCCAAATTTTTGTGATATAAACAGGGACGATAATTATTAGGAGTAAAATAATTTAAATCAGCACTTGATCATAATTTTCTGATTTTTATTTTTGTCGCTCAGAGATAATCATTATTTTTGAGTTTTATTTCTTCACTCAACGGAAATAATTATCATTTGATTTTTATTTTTTCGATCACAAATAATGATTATTTTATGATTTTAATTTTTTTCGCTCAGAGTTAACCATTATTTTTTAATTTTATTTTTCCACTTAAAATAGTGATTATTTATAAAATTTAAAAGGCAATACAGACGCAATCTATTGAAATGTTGACCTGAAAAGTTTGGTACTTATTACTTTTATTAGACTGTCGCTACCTCTGAAAAGGATATGTGGGAAATCACGTTGGTATAGCTTTTGAGTTTTTTGAATGATCGTTATTCTTAAGGGAAAAAATAAAACTTAATAATATTTATTATCTTTTAGCGAAAAAATAAAAATCATAAAATAATCATTATTTTTTAGCGAAAAAATAAAAATCAAGTAACAATTATTTTTAATCTTTATTGATTAAACTCGAAAAATAAAAATCATTGTAAATTCCAGTAGGATTTACGAACACAGATACGTGAGTATAGTTAAAATTATTTTACGAAGATTACAACTTGCTGATTTTTCTTGGTTGAAATTTATAAGACAGTCATTATTTCCATCCCTAGATATAAATGATCCTGATTATACAGAACAATAAAAAAAATATATTCAAATCGGTTTAGCCGTTCTCGAGTTTGGATGACCGTTACAAGCGAACACGACGTTTTTATATATATAGATTTGTCCGATGACAAAATATGGACATATACACTGCGTTCATTTAAAGCTCTGCGCTTTCTTTCCAGAAAATTTTGGTCGATTTTTAGTCTTTGTTGGTAAAAATGGTAGAAAATATAATATAGCTAAAAAATTGGTAGATCTACCAATAAAGCAGTAAAGTTCCTATACCAATATTTTATTCTGCTTATACTGGTCTATGGGCAAATCTAAAAAATCGGTAACCTTGGTTTTATTTAGCTTTATTTTCACTGTTGGAAACTATATGAAGCTGGTTGCTTTTGGATATAATTCACTGACGTATACTTGAAGCCTCAAACAAAATTTGGATCAATTTGCTGTATAATTTTTTAATTATAGGTGTTTAAATTAAAAAAAAAATAATAATGAAAACAAGTGAATTTTTTATGTAATTTTTTTTTTATGTCATAACTTTTGAAGCACACCATATTCTGATTTAAAATTTAATGGGCATTTAGCACTTATCTGTACACTTCATATGTAGTAGGTACGAAAAGTGTGCATTAAAAATAACGAAATGGCAAGCAACTCGAAGTCTGTAACTCCACATTTCACCATTTTCAAAATTTTCGGTTTGTCGCGTATAGTCCTTATAACGTTACATATACCTGTAAGATGCTTCAAAACAATTTTCTCTAGAAGTGGATAAAAACCCTGATTTAGTACTTTTAATTATGCTCCTTCTTGTAGTCAGAATATTTCGAGCTTGGTATCAAATCAAAATTTTTTCGACAAAGGTTCTGATAGTTGCTCTTACTTAATAGTAGTCTTCTAAATTCAATGGCGTCCCCAGTTTTGCCCGATCGTCTTCACTTTTGGAGATAGCGGTACTTGAAACTTTGCTTAAATTTGAACTATTATATAAAAAAACTCCCTCAGATTTGAAGATATTTTACTCAAATTTTGCACACGATTTTAGTTTAATATTTCCTTCACTATCTCTCATCATCGAAATCGGTTCACTCTAACATCTAGCTCCCATACAACTAATTGTTCAGAGACGTTGTTTTGCGTTATAACTCCTCCAATTAAGCAGGTAAATATTTCTTGTAGGTCCAATTGAACATATAGCACGCATACAATTTATTATTCAGATATGACATTAGAGTTATAGCGCAAAAACACATATCTGAGTAATCAGTTGTATTGGAGCTATATAATAAAGTGAACTCATTTCGATAATTTTAAGGAATAATTAAGGTAATATAAAAAAAACCGTTATGTGCAAAATTCTAGTAAAATAACTACAAAACTGAGGGAGTTATTTATAAAATAGTTAAAATTAAATCAAATTTTCAAATACCGTTATCTCGAAAACCGGAGCCCATCTGGTAAACCGGAGGATGCCATTGAATTTATAACGTCCCAATTAAGTGAGTTCAACTTTCAAAATCTTTGCTCAAAATTTACAACTTGAACAACGTAATTTGAAACCAGCTTATTCTTTTGTTTTCTATTTTATGTTTATTCCTCGTCTAAATTTGAAGCACTTGATGAAAATGAATTACACATATTAATCGATTTATTAAGAGAATACGAATAAAATGATATATAAAACTACGTATGCTCACAAGTTAAAAAAAAAATTTTCTTTTTTTTTCTGAATACACAGTTTTATAGCCCAATAAATTTTAGTCTGATAATGTGCAAGAGTCAAGTAGCTAAAGGTTACCGCTGATTTTTTAGAATTTTTTTCGCCAAAGGCATTGCGGTTTTCTTCCATATACAAATAAATTGAGTTTATTCATTATATGGAAGCCAATGCGACAAAAAAAATTCTAAAAAATTAACGGTAATTCGTAGCCACTTGAAATTTGTACATTATCAGACTAAAATTACAGGGGCTTAAAAACTGTGTACTCAACAAAAGTCTAACACTTCCGAGAAAAAAGTTTGAAATTTAGGTGAAATTTTGTTGCACTTTTTTGAAGTTCTCTACAAATTGTTAAACTTGGGTATATATGGGGTTTGTCTGAGAATGAACTAAATTTTAATTGAAAATTCTTAAAAATAAATAAATAAACATAAGTGGTACACAATATCACTTTGAAATGGCGTGCTATAGATATGACCGATACTGTATACGAAAAAATGCTTAATATAATAAAATAAAATATAATAAAATAGCTTATTTTTAGCGGTGGAAACGTATCCGAATCGACCGAAAATAGTTTTGTTCCACACGCTGTTTCGGTAATTAGAGAGATAAGTTGCTCTTTCACAAGTGTCAAAAATTTGTCAAAACGTGCTAAAGAGACCAGAGCGTGGGGAACGCAAGAAACCACATTTCGTGCCAGGAATCAACAAATCAGCTTAAAACGGTAATTTTATTATAAAATTGTTATGTGTACTTATCTTATACGGCGAATAAAATTAGCAAATAGCTACATATTTTGAAACTTTATTGGTATTTTAAATTTTTGTGTTATATAAAATTTGCTTTCGGATGTAAACAGACAACAGCTGTTATGGCAATTTGAATTTGCACATTTGTGACCGAAAAAAAGTCCGGGCTGTTTCGGGCACGAAGAAGAAGACATTCGCTCTCTATTACCCATTTTTCTAGCGTGAGGAACGTTTTCTGGGCATTTTTTCCCATTTTCGGATACGTTTCCGAAGATTTAGGATGGCTGGGATTTCGCCAAGATAAAAATTCAGTAATCATAGTTTCACAGACAAATGCCAAATATGCAATAATACTATACGCAATAATCAGAACCACCATTCAATAATTAAAACAAAAATATTGTACATTTTTATTCGCCAACCATTATTACTTTTAATATTTTTCCCCCAATAGTCTATGATATAACCAAGCGATCGTCCTTTTCAAATTTACAAAAATGGATTGAAGAAGTACGACGGTACACAGCATCCAACGTATTACTCATTTTAATTGGTAATAAATGCGATTTGGAAGAAGAACGCGAAGTGGACTTCGAAGAAGCAAAGCAAATGTGCCAATATATCCCGGAAATACTTTTCGTAATGGAAACATCAGCGAAACAAAATACAAATGTGGAAGATGCGTTTGTCTGCTTGGCGACTGAGTTAAAGGTAGGCACGCACTATTTATAGGATTACAACACATATTCTCATAAATCTGCATTTTATTGTTTTTTATGAATATATTTGCGGATTGTTGTATAAGGAAATAATTGGCAAAATGAACTCCACCCTTAACTCAAGTTAGCTCTTGTACTCTTAAAAAATGACAGATTTAATTTGGGTTAATTATTTACTCCATCGTAGGTTCGATTTTCGTGAAATCGACGAAAATGCCATCACTAAACCCGAATATCTTTGAAGTTCATAGAGTAAAATTTCAGAATCCGTTCGTAATGAGTTAGGGCTCGGAATCTCATGCACTAAAAAATCGAAAATATGCGCATATAATATGAACTCAAAATTGAAAGATATGCACTCGCACAGGAAGTGTTCGACTGTCTCTTTTGAGCAAGGGTTATCGCAACCACGACAGAACCTTTTGAAGGGCAATCCAATCCTTTCGCCATGTACCTCAACGGGCCAGTGCCGTGTGCATACTGCAGTAAGTTTGTAGGTACCGTCTTTGCTCATTCCTAAGAAAGATTTGGTTTAAAGTGGGTCGTAGAACACCCAGAACTGTCGGGTAATACTGTATGATCCTGTACGGTTCCACCTCTGCTTGGCCTTTCATATTCGCTTGAAGAATCTAGCATAATGGCGAGATCGTTGTGTAAACACCGCTTACAAGCCAAACTAGATGTGTCAGGTTTTTCTAAAACTTTTCAAAAAGAATTCTTCACTCTCATTCCTTTGGCTGCTTCAGAATTTGGGGAGCCTGTAACGTCATCAGCGTTTTTTGATTTTAGTCTTTGTAATTCATTTTGAATACTTTATTCTGTGACTGGTTTGAAAAAATTGCGCTTATAGCGAGCTAAATATACAGGTGGATATGGAAAATACGTCATTATTTTCCAGGACAACAAAGGATTTTGAACAAAATTATGTTTTCAAACTCGTTGCTGCCAACCGAATCGGATCAGAATATTGTTACTTTTTTATAATAATTTGAGTTATTGGAATCAGGTATGATAAAGGTCTCAGATATTTACGTAATTCTTACCTAATTAAAGGTCAGACCTATAGCTTTTTTAATTATTTGAGCATCAGTTCTCTTTATAGCCAAAGGTTGATCATTTCTGCTGGAAATCCCTATTGAAAGAGCTTACGCTTTGACTTAAAAAAAAAAAAAAAACTAACGTAGTTTCACCACAGAAGTTTTCAGCCAAGGATCCAATGTAGATCTGTATGAAAAAAAAAATGCCCGACAAGTAAACAAAATTACTGTTTTTGAAATGTTTGCTTAAAATTAATTCCCCAAAGAGCCCCACTGGAAAAGGTTGAAACAAATATATGTAACATCAAAAACAAATACCGAAAATTTGGTTTAAAATTACAGTGCACACTTTCTTCTTTTATGTCTAGTAGCTTTTTTAAGATTGGTCCAAAAAATTCGTAATAAAGAAATAAGCCAATGCAGGTAATAAAAGCACAGAAAACAAAAAAAAATTATTAAACGGACCATGTTTCCTTTAACGTACGTCAAAGGTCAAGTAGAACTGGGAACTTGTTTGACCGTCCATTGATAGCTCGGTTATATAGCTTAAGAAATAATATGTTTGGAAACACTTTTATCAAAGTTGCTATATATGACATGTGACCAGTTTTGTTGTTGTTGTGCGCGCCCGGATAACACGACCACAATCAAAAATTATTGGCTAGAATCTGTCATTTTGTTTGCCAGATATGCGTTTTGTCGGTGCACTTGAACAACTTTTGCATTCGCAAAAGCTCCCCATTGATTATTGCGAATGTGAATATTAAAATTAATACGAATGGGAATATTCGCAACAACCCTGGTATGTACATACATACATATATTACAAGAGTGACAGAATACAAGATTGCGCCCATCAGAGAGAATTTTTGAGAATAACTTTTGTGTGACGTCTCACTGGTGCAGTTGCGAGAGGGAAATGCCAAAACGTGAGCAAGAATGGGAGAAGAAGAAAAAATGTTGCAAGGCAAACGTAAACAAGTTGCACAAGTGTGACGTCATACAAACAACGATTCTGTCAAATTCACTGAGAGAGGAATAGCGGTACCGTGATGGGCGCAACCTCTATTTCTCTTAATCGTGCATATATTAACATATTTTTGTACATAATCTATTGACATACATTCAAACATTGTGATGGACAAATGATCGACTTGAAAATTATGCCGGCTACATAATTTCTAAAATGGGGTTGATGCCAAGGTTTCTGAACGCATGAAGAAAGTGATAAAATTTGGAACGAATTTCCGTCATCCCTTGTCAAAATAGATCAAAATACATCATACACCCACCCTGTCGGAAACACCTCTCTAAAGTTGGCAGGACAACTTTTTCTCAAAGCAAAAATTCCTATCGCATAATTTGCCGTTAATTATCCGTAAATTATCCGTGAAAAGAATAATTTTGCCGTGGACATATTTTAAAAAATATCGCGTGCCCTGCTAACTTCCACGGAAGTTAGCTTCCGTGGAAGTTAGCAGGGCACCTTCTGAAAACTAATTAAGGAAACCAGCTAATCCCAAACTAACTATTTGATAATTTGCCGTAAATTATCCGTTTTTTATCCGTGAAAAGAATAATTTTTCCGCGGACATATTTCAAAAAATATCGCGTGCCCTGCTAACTTCCCTGGATGTTAGCAGGGCAC